GTAGGTCATGATTTTAATAAAAAAACTCTTTAGTCGCTACATTCCTATTGGACTAAAACGCTATCTAGTAAGCACATCTACGGAAAAACCACTCATTTATCTCTCTGGTATCCAGCCGTCTGGCCGGCTGCATCTAGGAAATTATCTTGGGGCAATCAAACCTCTTGTTGGTATCCAGACCTCTTCAAATGTGGCCTCCCTCATGTTGTTAATGGCTGACTTGCATGCATTGACTACAGTCAGGTGTCCACAGTCTCTTCTCCGAAATATGCAGCATCTCTGGACTACACTTGTTGCATGTGGAATTAATCCTATTCTTGATAAAGGTGAAAACGCTTCAGGAAAGACCGTTATATTTCAGCAATCATCTATCGTTGGGCATACTGAATTGACCTGGATCCTTGCTTGTCGTTGTTCTCACCAGGTGCGCATATTACTCCCATTCTAAATAATTCTGTTAATACTCCATTTTAAAATATCACGATTTATTTTTTATATCATGCTTTCTTTCTCAGAAGTATTTTCTCTAATTATTTTTTTTCAACATCAATTTGATTATATTTGGCCAAAGCTCTTTATAAATGATAAGAGGTTCGATCTGTCAAATTGAGTGATTTTTAAATAACCATATCTTTTGTAAATATATCGTTTAAGCACAACTTTTGTTGCCTCTGTTTTATCAATCATGTTCTAATTTTCACCATTCTTAGCCACCACAGCTCATTAACCAAAACTACTTAATTTACTTTCGAATAACGCAATGGTATTCAGGAGCAAAAATCTGCTTATATCATTTGTATTGTAGCAGGTTCTTTTCTTGTTTGTCTACAAAGGGATGGTAAAGCCTCATTTATGAGCTACTACAAGAGGGCGTACAAGTTTATCAGTGAATAATGCATAACTTGTTACAATTCTAAACTAACTGTGCATTCGAAGATATGAAGATTAAGATGGTGTGGTCTTTTGTGTGGTCGCAAGTCTCAAAGCCACTTGTCTCTTTGGCAAGTTGTAATATGGTGCTACGAATGGCATAACTCACGGACGATGCCGACTATGATCCCGGTGAAACGTTTGTAAATGTACCACGTCCACGGTCCGACTTTGGAAATGATTATGCATACAATGGACTCCGGACAAGATGCGTTCCTCTAAGTCTTCCTATCAATATGACCGAGTTGCGAAAACAAGGTCAAACAACTTAGAACTTTGCATTGTTAACTTTCAGGTAAAGCGTCATTTTGGGTAACTTTATTCCACCGTTCTCACTGGAATCCGATTCGATCTAATTAATTTTCCACATTGAATGACTTCATCCAAGTGGTCTGGCCATATGATGGGCCAAGATTTTTTTTGATAGTTGGGCCGATCTTCAAATTGGATTTTGCCTTTTGTCAATTCTACATATCCTCTATCTCTTTTTTACTTCGAACTATTTATGGTCAATTTCTAGGAAGCCCTTAATTCTTTAGTGTAATTATCACTCACCCCTTAGCTATTATTAACCGGCTTGAAACGTATGGTGATTATCAGAGAG